TCTGTACAGCTCTCGGTGTAGGAGGTGTTTACGGCAAATCAAAGTTCCAAACCAACAAATTCTCCATGAGGTAGCTCCAGCACAACTGGTAGAGTTTGTACAATTTAGTTACAAATCAGGATGTAGACTAAGAGTGTAAGACTGAGACAGGAAATGAATGATTTTTTTAAAGGCAGGGATGTATTTTTAATTGATAGGCATGTAAAAAAAAACTTTTGGGGCACCTGGGTGGCTCAGTCGGTTAAGCGTCCGGCTTCAGCTCAGGTTGTGATCTCGCAGTTCGTGAGTTCAAGCCCCGCGTCTGGCTCTGTGCTGATGGCTCAGAGCCTGGAGCCTGCTTCAGATTCTGTGTCTCCTCCTTTGTCTCTGCCCCTCCCCTGCTCATGCTCTGTCTCTATCTCTCAAGAATAATAAATAAACTTAAAAAAAAAAAAAAACTTTTAAGGCCCATAACTGAGGGGTCAGAAGAGGCTAATTTATTTCTATCTTTGAATTCCAAATCCTCTCTCTCTCCAAGAATGAAGGTAAATATTAAGTAGGGCTTTAAAGGAAAAGTCCATTAAAATATATACATATATACATATATATTAAATACAAATCCTATAATACTATAATGTATTAATATACAATTATATCATGATATATAATAATAGATGCAATCATGTGATATATGCAATGATGTTTGTAACACAAGTAATGTGAGGTATATAATATAAAACATATATAATTATGGTAAATATACGAATAGACATGGATAAAGTGCTACATCACACTCTCAGATTTGGGTTTGCCTGAAAATATATGCACCACTATCTTAGATTATCTCAGCTCCTTATGTTTCAATACATCTACAGTATTCAGGAGTGGAGTAACAAATGTACACCTATTTGTATTTCTTTTTCTTCTTGATATACTATATGCTGTTGTTCACTAGCCTAATATCACTGCATGGTCCCATTTTCACTTTCCCTTCTTTCATTAAAAGATGAGCAACAGCTATAGCTAATTTCCTACTAAAAACTAAAATAGTTTTTAGTATATGTGCTCCTTAGTATCTTTATTATGCCAGTGTATATTTCACCTGATTTAAAAATTCCGTATTTTCCTTCCTGCTTTTGTTAAGTTAAGCAATCCACGCTTCTTTTTTTAAAAGGGGCATGCTGCTCTGCAGAACATCTTGTCTTTCCTTGTTCTAAAAAATAATGAGCTCAGTTACTTTTTCTTGGAGGATATTTGTTTCACTCTTTGTAAGAGTACTTCATCATGGTCTGAGTGAAACCTTGCTATTCTTTTTCTTATATTTCCATAAGAGCATTTGAGGAAAGATGCTTCTCCTATATTCATATTCAAGGGTAATGTCATTCAAGAGAAACAACATAAAAGAGTGTAGAGCTGGGAGTGAAATGTGCAACTACCATTTATCTTTACTTTAAAGAGTATATTAATGGTTAAAAAAAATTATTGGCGACAGCATTCTTGAACTGAGTTAAACTTAAAGATAGATTTTCCCCTTTTACCTCTAGAAGTATATTTTAAAGGTACAGGAAAATAAAATTAATGGAACCCCACTCTTGTTCTTTATAGATGATAATTGCAGACAAAAGCATATTTGTATAAATTTCCCATTACTTCAAATAAATCAAAAACTTGTGAAGAGATATTTCTGAATTTAGAGAACTTAGACCAGATACAGACAGATTATCAACTACTTCTTGATAAAAATTAAAAGCAACAAATTGTAGGTAAGTTGCAAAAAAGTCATAGAACATAGAAAGTGATTTTTTAGTTGTTAAATACCTTTAAAAGTTACTTGTGACGAGGAGAGTGAAAAGTATGTGTTCTTGGGATTTTTAAATGTTTTACATTTAATGTTTCTTTCATTTAAAATGTTTTTAAATATTTTTTTTTTATTTTTGAGAGAGAGAGAGTGAGTGAGTCAGGCACAGAAAGCGAGGGAGACACAGAACCCAAAGCAGGCTCCAGGCTCTGAGCTGTCAGCACAGAGCCCAAGCGGGGCTTGAATTCATGAACTGTGAAATCACGACCTGAGCTGAAGTCAGACGCTTAGCCTACTGAGTCACCCAGGTGCCCCTTAATGCTTCTTTTAAAGAAGATTTTAAATAGTATGTTGTCACTTTTAAAACACTGACTGGACATATTATAGTAGAAAATAATGATCAGGTTAGAAGGCAGAGGGTCATGGTTCTAATCTTGCCCTCCGTTAAAAAGAAAACCACAGGCTAAAAATGGTGTCACTTAGGCCAAGTCAGCAAAGAGTTACTACCTAAACTAACTGCAGTTTTAACCCCTTGGAATATAACCTTTAACCAGTCAACATGTAATTCTTGATCAATACTAGGAAATTTACTGATAGACCCTTTCTATTCCTCTTTGGAGGGTAACCTTGCCTAAACAATGTATTCCTTGTTAATAAATTCCTCTTTTTAATGCCCTCTCTCTGCCTTTAAAAATCTTTCTTTTGTTTGGGGCTCCTGGGTGACTAGCAGGTTGAGTATTCGACTCTTGATTTCAGCACGGGTCATGATCCCAGGATCATGGGATTGGGACCCGTGTCAGGCTCTGTGCTGAGTGTGAAGCCTGCTTAAGATTCTCTCTCTCCCCCTCTCTATCGCTCTCACCAGCTCACAGGTGCACTTGATCTCTCTAAAAGAAAAAATAATTATTTTGTTTACCTCCAGCAGAAATCCTCTCTACTTGCTAGAGGGGATGCTGCTCAACTCAAGAATCATTTAATAAGGCCAAACAGATCTTCAAATTTACTCAGCTGAATATTTTTTTAACACTTCCTACTGTGTAACAATGTGATCTAGAGGAAGATGTCTACCTTCTCTGAGCCTCAGTTTTCAAATATGCAAAATGAGTGTTATGGACTGAATTATGTCCCCTGCAAAATTCATATGTTGAAGTCCTAACCCCCAGTGCTTCAGAATGTGACTATATTTGAAGATGGGGTTTTTAAAGAGGTAGGAAATTAAAATGAGATGATTGATGTCTTTATACGAAGAGGAATTTAGGATACAGATATACACCAAGGAAAATGATGTGAAGACACAGAGAGAAGACAGCCATCTACAAGACAAGGAGAGAGCCCTCTAAAGAACCAAACCTGCTGACACCTTGATCTCAGCCTTCCAGCCTCCAAAATTGTGAGAAAATCAATTTCTGTTGCTTAAGCAGCCAATCTGTGGTACTTGTTATGGCAGCCTGACCAAACCAATATAATGGGCTTTATCAATCTCACTATGATTACATACAGTTATATGCTGTTTAATGTGTGTGAATTCTGTTCTTACATTAATCCTTCATTGGGCAGGTTATTTAAAATTCTTATCTTCATCTTATCTTGAATATACAGTTCTTTTAGGGTTAAGAGAACAAATTATTTATGTTTCTACAGCATGGATCAAAGGGTCTATACCTTAAAATTTATTCATAGGTTTGGAATAAGAGCAGCCTTGGAATTGTGCCATTTTTTCAAAACTATGTCTTTTCCTGTATTTAATCTATCTCTCCATTTTATATCCGGAAAATGTACATAATAATTAGAATTGTTCTTAACAATAAATAAATTCACATATGTTACAAATTTACCACATTGACACATTATCGGTGCCTAATAAACTTTAAGTATGATTACTGTATCCTCAATGATTTTTTTAACTCTTTTGCAACATACCCCAGGCCAAAAATGGTTCTCACATCACTTCTTATCTGTCTTTGTTTCGTCCAGGGGCTAAAATATGTCTTTTACAACTTATTTTTACTGCTGCCCTAATGCTCATATACCTGCTTTCCTTCCAGATGATGGTAGTCTCTCCCTGCCCAGGAAAATTGTTATCTCGGCTAAGATGGAATTTACCAAAGTGCATTGCCCCCAGTGTTAACTATTCAAGAGGTTAAAATGCTAAAAAAATATATTAAAGGATTCTGTGCTTATATTTTGAGTTAAGCAAAGAAAGTAAGACCTTACTAAATGTATCTTAGAGGTCTTAAAAAGCTCCTGTGTATTTTGAGCAGTTAAAGGTGGTATATGTCATGTAGCCTTTCCTCAATTTAGTTGACAATAGATTGTTTTTTGGTCAGTTTTCTAAAAGATATGAAATTCTTGGAAGACAGAATTTGCAAAGTTCTGGCTGAAAGAGGGTTCAACACCCTTAAAACTTTCCAAATAACTTCTTGCCTCATCCCTGTTTTAGCCTTTTTGCTTTCCTTTTTATTGGATTTAAATAGATAATTATTATTACTAAATAATCAGCTATTGTTGTAACCAAATAACGTATTTTAGTCTCCATACTGAATTAGGCCTGTGGTATGTGTTTTAAAGTACCATTTAAGTAAAAAACAATAGTAGAGGGAGGCAAAACACATAACACAAAGGTATTAATTCTATATTAAAAAATAAGCTTTGCCGTAAGTCAAGGAAGGATAATTAAGGGAAAACATCATTTTCACTTATCCAGATAGGCAAAATTATACCTGATGTTGGTGAGAGTTTTGGGATAGAGTCACCTTCAAACACAGCTTTTGGGAATAGAGCAATAAATTTTCGTTATTCTATCTTGACTATGGTATAATGAATCATTTTAAATTTCTTCTTTATGTTTTTCTGGATGTTCCAAATTTTCCACAGTGAATATGTTTAACTTTGCTTATCAAAAGAAATACCACTTTATTTGCTTTTCATGATTTCTCTAATTTGAAAATAATATGAAGGTTTAATGACTTCTTTGTAAAGCTGCTTATATAATTTCATAGATAATATAACCCCTTTAACATTCTTTCCTCAGCACTATTTTAAGGACATAGAGAAAAGGCAAAATGGCTTGATAAACATTAATTCACATTCAAGTGCATATGAATATCTCAGATATCAGGATACTCGGATAACCTCGACTTTAAAGGGCAAAAACAACATCCAGAGGAACAGTCTCTGTTACTTATAATATTGGTAAGTCTACAAGAAAATAGATATATATTACCTGATAAACAGTGTATACTTTTGTCCATCATCCACTTTAATGGTAGTGTTAATGCTTTTCAATTTTGCTTCACCAGCACAGAAAAAGTGGTACTATAAGAAAAAAAAAGTTTCCTTCAGTTTCTCACAACGAAATTGACACATATTTGCATTAGACTTAGAATTTACCAATAGTTTTTATATTGCTTTGGAGACAGTGTCTGAAAATTAAGAGAAGTGACAGTTCAAGGTATACAACTAATAAAGTGTATAATTAAAATAAATAAATGTATAAGTATTATATACATATACATGCATCATCTATGTGTACATGCACACATACACACAGACACTTCTAGTTTCTGTTCCAATATTCTGAGGAACATGGTTGAGAAAGGCAGCTTTTTCTGCTAGCAGAAAGTGAGTATTATTAGCAAGCTTCCTTACATACTACCAATTGAGCAACGTGAAGAATAGTGAATACAATGTAGAGGGTGATGTTAAAGTCCAAGGAAGGAAACATTGAAGATTATGGAGGTTAACCATTTATTCTAACCTTCCTGAGGCTAGAGGGGGGTCTTTGTAGGGTTACTACTAATTGAGCCAAGTTATATTTTAAAAGGGGGCAGATCGTGTCTCTAACAGGTACATTCGATCAGGACTCCCTGAGAATTCCACAGGTAGGATTCAGTGACCTATTCACCCTCTTCACAGCATATGTCTGCATGTATATTAGTTATAGTACAGCTATACTTTCCCAGAAAGGGGCTTATCATATCAGCAAGAAATGAAAAACCCACATATACGTTAAAGAAACACAGCTGCATGGTCTTGCATAATTCCTGTGCATCTAGCTATATTTAAGTTGATATACCTAAAACCCACGTTGGGTCCAAAGATAAATATTATGCTATATATTTTAATTTTATGATAGATTACAAAAGATTGCAAAAGATTCCTTAAAAAATTATCTACTACAAGTTGGCTTTAAGAAATATGTTAAATAGTATATTTAAATGTTAATGATAAAATGATAAAATGTTAATAATTCCCTTTTATCTCCAAAGCTGTCAAACGAATATAAAATATTTAATGGATCATTCTATTATTTTTACTTGAATCTTTTTATTATAAATAGCTCCTTTATGACATATACAGATATATACGTCACATATATGTCATATATATGTGACATATATAGACACATATATCTATATGACATATATAGACATATATAATATATTATATTATATTATATTATATTATATTATATTATATTATATTATATTAATAAAAGCTACTATTTATTGAGTGATTACTTGGGTGTCACAGAGTTTTAAAACATTTTATAAGTATCAACTGATTCCTTCCTTACAATACAAAATAAAAAACAAAACTCTATGAAGTAGGAACTATTCTTTTATTAGCTCCATTATTCAGAGATGTAAACTAAAGTGAAGTGATTTGCTGCTAGCCAGGGAGGCACAGTGATTTGCAACACAGACAGTAAGTCTGGTGTCAGGTATTTGAGTCGCAACAATGGATATTATGTATGTACTTAACTTCCTTGTTATTAGAAAGAGCCAGTAAAGTGTTTTTAAAAGCTATTTCAAAAACTAAAAATAAAAATTAAGTTTCATATTATTAAACTTTCCTAAAACTTGTGATTTCCTAAAAAGATGGACTAACAATTCTGCATTTCTAGAATAGGTCTTAGATTATGATCACTGCAAAAGTTCAACCATAAATATGTCTTTTTGTGAAAATTGTAATGTAAATGCATTCCCCATATGATTATACTTTTAAAATAGATGAAGAAATTGGAGCATAGTCTCACAAATCATAGTGGAACAAGGAAAATCTTAAAATCATGAAGACAGAGTAACACTGAAATTTCCTTTAAATCATTGCAAGGAAGCAGTGATGTGAGCAGAACGAACATGAATTTTGGATTTATACAACAAAGTAAAAATTCCTTATCTACCATTCTTAAAGGAGTCCTAAGAGCATGTGTAATACTGAACTCTGTGAGAAGCCTCGCTTGTGTGCATGATTTTTGCAAAATGCAGAGAGAAAATATCTAACCTTCACATTTGATTCATGTCCCAGACATCCTTCTACATGTTTATATGCATTTACTTATTTACTCATTGTATTACATTTACTCCCCAACATTTATTCATTTATTAACTTGAGCTTCACAACAATCTTTATTACCTTCATTTTACAAGTGAGTAAATTTAAGCACAAAGTGCTTAAGTGACTTGCAAGTTCTCAAAGCTCCTAAGTAGCAGAGCTGGGCTCCAAACTCTGACTCCAGAGATGACGATCTTAATACATTTCTTAAGATGGAGCCTTATACATAATTTCAATTCAGTAAATGATAGTAATTATTATTACAGACATGAGTATATATCCTTTGTCATAAAACCTGAAGTAAAGAAATTCTACAAGTCTTTTCTCTCATTATGATTTTATAATTTCTCAATGTCTTGATTCAACCTATTGTGAATTTATTTTTATCCATCTGAAAGTGAAAGGAGTCTCCATTCATCATTTCATAAAATATTTCACCCACAATCCTGCAAGTCTCTGGTAGTTCCTCATAATGTCTATGGAGATGTCCACAGTGGTGAGAAAAACGAACTAGCTGAGATAGACACTCAGTTAATGGGAGTTTGCAGCAGAAAATTGTGCTGAGGGGAAACATTTTGAACATGACCAATGATCAATATTATGTGTGTTTTATTATTTTTTTATATTTGGTCTCCATATTTTTATGCTTATTATAAGAATAATGGAAAACGTTGGTCTTAGTTGAGGAAAATGCTGTAGAGCAGGGATCAGCAAACTTGAAGATAAGACTGATGTCTGATGATTCATTACTGTGTTCTATTTGTTACAGAATTCTATTTTCTTACTCCTGTTTCACCTGTTCCTATCATTATCTGTAATCAATTAGAAGCAATATGAGGAAAATAAAGTGTGTTTTGTTTACCACTGAATCCTCAGAACCAATGACAAAGTGATTGATGATAGATAAATGTTTAACAAATGAGTGAACAAATACATGAATGAGTAAAAATATTACCACTACCAATGCCTACATCTGGCTGATATTTATTAATATCAGACTTCGTAGTAAATTACATATTATGTGTTGTATTACTTAAGAAAGATGAACATTTAGAGAAAGTCAAACTGGTATAACGTGACTTATTTAAATTATAACTATTTCATGGAAATTCACATATTTAATCACATCATAAAAGAAACGATAGATAAAAATACAGTGTTATATTGAATATTTTAGGCTATGTTGAGTTAATTACTTTATTGCAGTGATGATTTGGATGGCTTCCTTAATCTGGGTATTTACCACAGGAATAGGAGTTGATGGGTTATGATAGAACAGTACTGAAAAAAGAGCATACACTTTCAACTCAAAGTCAGCCTTATAATTTAGTGTTTATTAGCTGTGTGATCTTGGAATTTTAATTTTTTTTTAATGTTTATATTTGAAAGAGAGAGATGCAAGCAGGGAAGAGGCAGAGAGAGAGAGAGAAGGAGACACAGAATTTAAAACAAGCTCCAGGCTCCAAGCTGTCAGCAAAGAGCCCAATGCTGGACTTGAACTTGGGAATAGTGAGATCAGAGCTTAAGTCAGATGCTTAACTGACTGAGCCACCCATGTGCCCCTGATCTTGGACTTTTAAAAGAAGTTGTTATAAAGACTACCAAGTGTTAAATCCATGATCTCAAACTTTTTGATCTCAACATCTCTTTGTGCTCTTAAAAATTATTGAGGACCTCAAAGAGTTTTTGTTTACTGGGTTATACTTATCAATATTTATAATATTAAAATTAAAACAAACATTTTTAAAATACAAAAATGTGGAAGTACACATTGCATTAGTGATCAGAAAGATGACATCATCACATGCCATGCAGCCTCTGGAAAACTCCACTGTATATTTATGAGAATGACAGTAAAAAAAGGCAAATAACAGTATCATTAAGATAGCTTTTCCTTAAGGATCCTCTGAAAAAATCTTTGGGCTCCCCAGATCACATATTCCACTAAAGCTACAAAAAATGGTAGCAGTTACTATCACTGGGATATTGGGAAACATAATAACAGAAAAAGGTTAAAAATAAAGAGAAAAGAAGAGAATGATAGCTATTCAAAGTATATACTATTTTGAAATATAAATACTGAATATGAAAAAATTACAAAAACAGAACACACAGCCTAGTGGTGATTATAAAAGACATATTTTAGATAAAATTTTATTTTGACAATAACCACTAAAAGAATCAGACTTTCTAAAATTCCTTTAAATGAAATAAATATAATGACTTACCTTTAAAGTACCATTTTCAATAAATAATTGAATAAAAAACTCATCAACTGAATTTGAGTCTTGCTTGATATACAGCAGGAGTCCATAGGAGTTGAAGGTATGAAATTCTAGTGATACGTTACTTTGTGGACTTAACAACACATTCCGAAATTCTAGATAGGAATCTCCATAATAACAAATACATCTGAAATCTGTGGAGTCTGAAAGAAAATACAATTTAGATTGGAATTGAATGTTCAATAGTTGGGTTTCATATTAACATTAGCATATCTTCTAAAGTGGCTCATACATGACTATTTTCTGCCTGTTACAAACCCGGGTACCTGTTTCCTTTGCCATAGTCACAGTGGTTTGTCATAATTTCTATGAATTGGGGGCTTTACGATCAAATCTCACTGGATGTCTAGGTGATTAATCTTCAACAGGGCATTCACTTCCATTTTACGTTACAGGTCAACAGAAATAGGAACATTTTCTAATGATGTCCTTATTCATTGTATATACATGACGGTATCAAATTTTGATTTATGTCAGTCATTACTGTTAATTTGATTGTGTGGCTTTTGAGGGCCAACAGACTATCTAGAATAAAGGAACTGTCATCCTTCTGTAGCAACACTTTTACCCGAACTTCTTTAAAAATCATCACTTGCATGTTATCTTTCTTTTTCTCATCTTCTGAATATTTTAATTAGCCTCAATCTTTTTATTTTTTATTAAAAAAATTTTAACGTTTATTTATTATTGAGAGACAGAGAAAGAGACAGAGCATGAACATGGAAGGGGCAGAGAGAGGAGACACAGAATGCGAAGCAGGCTCCAGGCTCTGAGTTGCCAGCACAGAGCCTGACACAAGGCTCGAACTCACAAACTGCAAGATCATGACCTGAGTTGAAGTTGGACACTTAACCAACTGAGGCACCCAGGCACCCCAATTAGCCTCAATCTTTTAAATGAAACATAGACATTTTGAGCAAAATACTTTGAAAATTTGCATTTCTTAAATTTATAAATATATGATTAATGAAACAGCTTTTTTCTCTGGATAAGATACTTTATATTATTAAAAGTTACTTTTGTTTGATAAAAACTTGACTGATTGATGATATTTTTGTAATAATGGATATGAGTTATCTGCTTTCACTTCTTTCCTTCTGCTCCTCCTTCTGTGATACACACACACACAAACTCCCTTTGAAACTTCTAAATTGGGGAGAAAGAGCCAAGATGGCAGAATAGCATGGAAGTTTTATGTGTGTCTCACATCCATGAAATACAGCCAGACCAACATTAAACCATCCTACACACCTAGAAAACTGATTGGAAGATTAACACAACAATCTGCACAACCTGAACCACAGAATTCAGCAGGTACGCGACACGAAGAGCTGAACTTGGGAAGCAAGAAGCCGCAAAATGAATTCACCCCAAAAGAAAGAGCACAAAGAAACGACAGCCAGGGATTTAACCAACACAGATACAAGCAAGATATCTGAACCAGAATTTAGAATCACGATAATATGAAAACTAGCTGGAGTCAAATATAGGCCAGACTCCCTTTCTGCAAAAATTAAAGATGTAAAAAAAAACACCCAGAATGAAATTAAAAATGCTATAACTGAGCTGCAATCATGGATGGATGCAGCGGCGGCAAGGATGGACAAAGCAGAACAGAGAATCAGTGATAAAGAGGACAAACTTATAGAGAATAACGAAGAAGAAAAAAGAGAGATTAAGGCAAAAGAGCACAATTTAAGAATTAGAGAAATCAGTGACTCATTAAAAAGGAACAACACCAGAATCACAGGGGTCCCAGAGGAGGAAGAGAGAGAAATAGGGGTAAAAGGGTTATGTGAGCAAATCATAGCGGAAAACTTTCCTAACCTGGGGAAAGACACAGACATCAAAATCCAGGAAGCACAGAGGACTCCCATTAGAATCCACAAAAACCGACCATCAACAAGGCATATCATAGTCAAATTCACAAAATACTCAGGCAAGGAGAGAATCATGAAAGCAGCAGGGAAAAAAAGTCCCTAACCTACAAGGGAAGACAGATCAGGTTCGCAGCAGACCTACCACAAACGCTTGGCAGGCCAGGAAGGAGTGGCGGGATATATCCAGTGTGCTGAATCAGAAAAATATGCAGCCAAGAATTCTTTATCCAGCAAGGCTGTCATTCAAAACAGAAGGAGAGATAAAAAGTTTCCCAGACAAACAAAAATTAAAAGAGTTTATGACCACTAAACCAGCCCTGCAAGAAATTTTAAGGAGGAACTCTCTGAGGGGAGAGTACATACATGTGTATATACATATATGTACATATACATATGTATGTTACATATGTGTATATATGTATATGTACATATATGTATATATGTATATGTACATATATGTATGTATATATATCTATATATGTATATATATCTATATATGTATATATACAATTATTTATATATAATTTAGATATATATAATTATTTAGATATCTATATCTATCTATATCTATATATCTATACCTATCTATATCTATATATGTATATTTAGATATATATAATTATTTAGATATATAATTATTTAGATATATATAATTATTATATATATACTTATATATATAATATATAAATAAATACCAAAAGCAACAAAGGATTAGAAAGAACCAGAGAACACCACCAGAAACTCCAACTCTACAAGGATCATAATGGCAATAAATTCATATCTTTCAGTACTCACTCTAAACATCAATGTTCCAATCAAAAGACATAGGGTAACAGAATAGATAAGAAAATAAGATCCATCTATATGCCGTTTATAAGAGACCAGTTTAGACCTAAAGAGATGTACAGATTGAAAATAAGGGAATGGAGAACCATCTATCATGTTAATGGTCAACAAAAGAAAGCCGGAGTAGCCATACTTATATCAGACAATCTAGACTTTAAAATACTGTATCAAGAGATGCAGAAGGGCATTATATCATAATCAAGGGGTCTATAGAACAAGAAGACCTAACAATTGTAAGCATTTATGTGCCAAATGTGGGAGAACACAAATATATAAATCAATTAATCACAAACATAAAGAAACTCATCGACAGTAATACCATAATAGTAGACTTCAACACCCCACTCACATCAATGGACAGATCATCTAATCAAAAAATCAACAAGAAAACAATGGCTTTGAATGACACACTGGACCAGATGGGCTTATATTCAGAACATTTCATCCTAAAGCAGCAGAATATACATTCTTCTCCAGTGCACATGGAATGTTCTCCAGAATAGACCATATACTGGGACACAAATCAGCCCTAAGTAAGTTCAAAAAGATTGAGATCATACTGTGCATATTTTCAGACCACAATGCTATCAAACTTGAAATCAACCACAAGAAAAAATTTGGAAAGGTAGCAAATACTTGGAGACTGAAGAACATCCTACCAAAGAATGAATGGGCTAACCAAGAAGTTAAAGAGGAAATTAAAAAGTATATGGAAGTCAATGAAAATGATAGCACCACAACCCAAAACCTCTGGGAAGCAGCAAAGGCAGTCATAAGAGGAAAGTATATAGCAATACATGCCTTCCTAAAGAAGGAAGAAAGATCTCAGATACACAACCTAACCTTACGCCTTAAGGAGCTGGAAAAAGAACAGCAAATAAAACCCAAAACCAGCAGAAGACAGGAAATAATAAAGATCAGAGCAGAAATTAATGCTATTGAAACCAAAAAAACAGAACAGATCAATGAAACCAGAAGCTGGTTCTTTGAAAGAATTAACAAAATTGATAAACCACTAGCCAGTTTGATCAAGAAGAAGAAGGAAAGGACCCAAATAAGTACAATCAAGAATGAAACAAGAAAGATCACAACCAACACAACAGAAAAAAAAAAAAAACAATAATTAGAGAATATTATGAGCAATTATATGCCAATGAGCAATCTGGAAGAAATGGACAAATTCCTAGAAACATATATGCTACCAAAACTGAAACAGGAAGAAATAGAAAATTTGAACAGACCCATAACCAGTAAGGAAATCGAATTAGTAATCAAAAATCTGCCAAAAAACAAGAGTCCAGGACCAGATGGCTTTCCAGGGAATTCTACCACACATTTAACGAAGAGTTAACACCTATTCTGTTGAAGGTGTCCAAAAAATAGAAAAGAAAGAAAACTTCCAAACTCTTTCTATGAAGCCAGCATTACTTTGATTCCAAAACCAGACAGAGACCCCACTAAAAAGGAGAACTATAGACCAATTTCCCTGATGAACATGGATGCAAAAATCCTCAACAAGATATTAGCCAACCAGGTCCAACAATACATTACAAAAATTATTCACCAGACCAAGCGGGATTTACACCTGGGATGAAGGGCTGGTTCAATATCCGCAAAACAATTAACGTGATTCATCACATCAATAAAAGAAAGGATAAGAACCATATGATCCTCTCAATAGATGCAGAGAAAACATTTGACAAAATGCAACATCCTTTCTTGATAAAAAAAAACCCTCAAGAATGTAGGGATAGAAAGATCATACCTCGAGATCATAAAAGCCATATATGAATGACCCAATGCTAATATCATCCTCAATGGGGAAAAACTGAGAGCTTTCCCCTTAAGGTCAGGAATAAGACAGGGATGTCCACTCTCACCACTGTTATTCAACATAGGATTATAAGTCTTAGCCTCTGCAATCAGACAACACAAAGAAATAAAAGGCATCCAAATCGGCCAGGTGGAGGTCAAACTTTCATTCTTTGCAGATGACATGATACTCTATATGGAAAACCCAAAAGATTCCACCAAATAACTGCTAGAACTGATTCATGAATTCAGCAAAGTTGCAGGATATAAAATCAGTGCACAGAAATCAGTTGCATTCCTATACACCAACAATGAAGCGACAGAAAGAGAAATCAAGGAATCGATCCGATTTACAGTTCCACTATAAACCATAAAACAACCATAAAATACCTACAAATAAATCTAACCAAAGAGGTGAAAAATCTATACACTGAAAACTATAGAAAGCTTATCAAAGAAATTGAAGAAGACACAAAGAAATGGAAAAAGATTCCATGCTCTTGGATAGGAAGAACAAATATTGTTAAAATGTCGATACTACCCAAGGCAATCTACATATTGAATGCAATCCTTATCAAAGTAACACCAGCATTCTTCACAGAACT